ATGTCATATTACACATGGTTTCAGAAGAACAAGTTACGATACAAACTTTATGGTCTCGATTAAGAGATAGGGCATTATTTGATGGTAGTGCCACGTCTTTAAGGCGGTTGCTTAGAGATCTTGGATTTAAGTGGCTTAAGGACAATCCGCGACGAGGGCTCATGGAACTACCAAGTATAGCTTTGAAAAGGGTGGAATTTCTAAGGCAATACAATCAAGCCAAGGTTGAGGCCTTATACCAGTTTGTCTTCCTCGATGAAACTTGGATATTTCAAAATGGGACCATAGGTCGCTCTTGGCAAAATGGAAACCAAAAAAGCGTGAAAGCTATTAAAACAGATGGTAAAAGGTATGTACTTTTACACAATTTGCACTATAAAATTTAAAACTAATATATTTTAGATACATTATATTACATGCTGGAAATGAAAATGGGTTTATTGAGGGTAGTGAAGCGATATTTTCTTCGAAAACAAAATTGAGCGATTACCATGGAGAGATGAACCAGGACAATTTTTTTAAATGGTTTCAACATCAGTTATTAGAAAAATTGGAGAGTCCATCTATGATTATACTGGATAACGCCCCTTATCACAGCATGATATCGAACAAAGTGCCGAACAATGCATGGACAAAAAAAAATATCCAAGACTGGTTGACAAATCAAAACATACCATTTTTAAACACAATGTTTAAAACAGAGCTATTGAGTATTGTTGCTCGGTACATAATGCTTCTTAATTATATATATTTTGGTCGACAGTTTATATTTCTTTTGTTTATTCCTATTCTTAAAATAACTGCTTTTTTAGAAACAAACCACCTAAAATATACGTGCTTGATGAATTGGCGGAACAACATGGGCACAAAGTTCTTCGTCTGCCTCCTTACCATTGTATATTTAACCCTATTGAGTTAATTTGGGGCATAGCAAAAGGTTACTATAACAGACATATTGGTAGAGATGGTAACAGTGAAAAAGACTGTTTGGATATGTGGAACGAGGCTCTACAAACGGTTACCCCAGACATGTGGAAAAATAGTGTTCGACATACTGAGCAAGAAATTTTTAAATGGTATGAAAGAGAACGAATTTTTGATCGACCAGACATCGAACCTTTAATAATCAACTTTGAGAGTGGTGAAGATTCAGATTCAGACAGCGCTGAAGAAAGAAACTCCGAATAACTTTATTGTACAGAAAAAGCTTACACCACCTAATTTTAGAATGCATTTTTCTGTATGAATTCTGTAAAATAAATACCATGCATAAAATTTGGAGGACCCCATTTGGATTTTTATTCAGTACCTTTAAGCTATCAATTAAATATGGTAGTTTCATAGTGTCATCTGATCAATAATTGTCATACTTAATGATTATGCAAGTACAGATCTATAATTTTATTATACTATTATTTTTGTTCTCATTTGAGGTTAATATTGCTTATAAACCTAGATATGTAAATAATAAATTTTATTATTTTACAAAAAGTTTGGCAACAATGTAAATTTTTCAACACACCCACCTTGATGACGTGCACGCCACTTTGTTTGGCGTTGACTATACGTCGATGATAAAATCATGATGTCAGGAACATAATGACAACAAATTTATATTATGATTTTGCGAAATTAGGTTATTTCACTGATTATTTTATTTTCATTTTATTTCATGGTTGTGAGTAATACCTTAATAATAATTTTAGTGGGGAGTTTTTGTTTTGAAAAAAACAGTTACGAGTAGAATACCTTAAGACAGGAACACCAAAGAACCAGTGGCGGCTCGTGCCAATTCAGTGAGGTTGTGCCAGAATGGAAGCCATAATTTTGAATCGATTCAAAATTGTAAAGAATAACTTATAACTTACCCCTGATAGTTAGTGGTCAAAGTTCTTGAGGTTCAATAAATCTATATGTCCAAAAAAAATCAAAAATAAAACTATTTAGACACGCGCACCAAATTATAAAACAAGTGTGGAGAAGTACCTATAACTTCAAAGTTTTCTATATATGAAGTCCATTCTTCTTTCTTTTTTTGGTAGCAAAGTTTTCGATTACCTTATTATTAAAATTTTCAATGCCACTAACAAAATGTTTTCTGGAGACAGCATTCCTAAAGCACGAAGCCTTTCTTCCTTCATTGTGTTTCTGAGGAAAGTTTTAATCCGTTTCAGCATTGAAAAAGAGCGTTCTGCTTCAGATGTTGACATCGGTATAGTGATTAAAATACTTAAGAGCTTAAGAGTTTCTTGAAACGTACAATGTAATCCTTCCTCGTTCAATAAAATGGATAGTGGATCAGCTCCAGAAGTAGTACTCAATTCTTCTCTCTGATATAATACTTGTAACTCAGTTTTAAGCCTGTTTTTGTCTAAAAATGAAAATTGTGTGCATGTGTCATTTAAATGTGCTTCAGGAAACTGATGTTTATAAACAGAAAACTTTTCAGACACAAATAAATTAGAAGCAACTAAATGCCCAGAAAAGTTAAATCTTGTTCTTATTTGCGATAATACTGCATCGCATATTTCTAACGCTTCCCGTTTTTTGTTGCCTTCTTCAACTTGCCTTTTTTTTCTTGCCGGTTCATCAGTTTCTCTCTGCACTCGTTCAATCTCGTCAATAATGCTATCCATTTGTTCTCGTATAGTTTGAATTGCTGCTTCAAAATTCTCTAAATCATTTTTGACCTTAACAGAATCGGTGCATACTTTTTGTAATTGGTTAAAGACAAATTCAACATGTGGCATTATTTTATGGAAAATGCTTAGCCAAAATACAAAATTTGTATCTTGCAGCTTTAATTTGTACCCACTGGCTTGATTAATCGACGAAGAATCGCGTGAAGTACTTTCTATATTGTCCATAACTTCAATCAGGTCTTTCCTATTTTCATAAACTGTACGAACACCTCGTGACTGAAAATTCCAACGTGTTTGGGAAGATCTTGGCAATCTGCGATTAACTATTTCATCGAAAATTTTTGTTCTTTGAGGAGACGTCGAAAAAAAAGAGCACAATCCAGATAAATTATGGAAAAATATTCTAGCCTGCTTATTGACAGAGCATGCGCTTGTCATAATTAGATTTAACTGGTGTGCATAGCAATGAACATAATTTGCAAGTGGATAAGTTTCCTTAATAATTTTTTGAACACCATTCAATTCACCACTCATAACAGACGCACCATCATAGCTTTGAGCTATTAATTTGTTTGGATTTTGATCTAGTAATGGATTTACAACATTTAAAACGCATGCAGCGATTGATTTGGCATCGTGTCCGTCGGGGACGTAAAATCTCCAAAATCTCTCAACTGGTTGTCCTTTACACAAATATCTGAAAATAATAACTAACTGAAATTCACAGGCTACGTCCGTCGTTTCATCGGCAATTACTGCAACAAAAGGAGAATTTGCAATCTCCTTCTTAACTTCTTCATGATAAACATCTAGCATGCACTCAAGAAGCTCGTTTTGAGTTGTTTTTGAGGTACCCTTAAAAAGTTTGGCACTTTGAATATGGACTTTCAATTCGTTGTCTAATTCGGCGCTAAAATTCACCAGCTCCTTAAATATGCCTCTGTTTTCCGAATGTTCCTTTTCATCATGACCCCTTAAGGCTAACTCAAATGCTCCACAAAAACTTATACAATTAATAATTTTATTCAATACATATCGATTCTTATCCACTTGATTATTATGTTTAATTAGATCATTGCGATAAGCCGAATTGAGTTGAGTCCTTACATTTAATTTACCAAGAATAGAAAAGCTAAAAACATTATTCATATGGACTTTAGATTTTTCGTGGGTCTTCATTTTATCCCATATATGTATCAGATCGTCCGTACCTTTTTTTGACCAAGTCTCGTCACCTCCAAATAGAACACATACAAAACAAAATAGTTTATTCGTTTCTTCACAACCACATATCCAGCTGTTTTTATCGTACACATTTTTATTAAATTTGTGACAGCGCGATTTTTGTCCGCTACCACTTTGTTTCTCAATTTTTAAATCGGGTATTGGCCGTCCTAATTCTTTAATTTGCAGTTTTTGATCTTTGATTTTATTCATTTTCACTAGTTTTAATAAAGCAGTAAAAAATATGATCACAAAACAGAGCAGTTAATTAGCACTAGACGTACTAAAACAAAAACGTTATTTCTCACTCTTCAGGTAAAAAAAGACCGAAATCAGCACTAGACGTAATCATAACGAAACGACCGACCGAACAAAAACACCGCCGATATCATTTGATAACGAATTACGACTGATGATGTGCCTGGCACAAATTATACTTGTCTTTCGCTATTCACCTCATATAAAAATGTCTAGCGTAGGGTTATCTCTGTCGCTCGTATGCGATGCTGGTAAAATTTCTCTCTTTTTATTTGGGCCGGCACAAGTTGATGACGTCAAGGTCAAGGCATGCTTTCCGTCTCGTCGCGTCGGTCGGGTGCGGGCGGGTGCTTGCGGTGTTGTCACGTTGTCAGTGTTGTCACTTCATATAATTTATACCAAAAAAATGAAAAAGCAGAAAATAAAGTAAAACATTGAAGATTGAAAAAAGTATTCTTTTTGAAGAAGACAAGGTAGTGCCATGGCACCGTGGCACTACCTCACGAGCCGCCACTGCAAAGAACCTGCTTTAATATAACCTAACTATCCATCTTTCAAATATGATCGATCATGCAACATGAAAACATCGTCTATCTTTGTCGGATAGATGCAGATTAGCAATACAGTTTGTTTAGACAATAAAATTCTGTTTGTCTCTGTCTAACATATCTGAAACTTCATTGAAAATATTTACTAGAGACTAAAATGATGACGTAATCGTCATCTTTCGTGATTTCTACTATATACACTTCGGTGCAAGATCAAATATGTACTTCGCGTCTAGTTGCAAGTCTTCACCTCCCTACCACCTACTGTTTAGCTCTTTTGCTTTTATTAGGAGCTGTGTGCAGGAACAATATGGCAGTCAATACTCACCACAGCACAACCTTGTGATTGATTTCCGAATCATAAGGGAATGGGTAGTTCAGTGACTTTTCCGTGTCCTCATCGGGGCTGACGTAACCGGTAAGGTAGTTGGAGGGGTGGGAGTCACCCCACCTGAGCAATGTTTGAGGGTGCACCACCTCGGCAGCCACCCCTAAGGGTTCCTGGTTCATTTTAATCCGCATCTGAGGTCACCTGGAACAAAAATTAATTGTTTGATAAAGTTCCTTTATCGGGAAAGTCTTGTATATTTTAGGCAGCTAAAAGGACATATTTTGGAATTAGTGTTTTCCTGGAAATTAACATAATTTGTTCCCCCATTAAAATGCTCTCCGTATCAAAAAAAAAAACAACGCAGTGGTAAGAGCGAGCTGGTGTGCACTTTATTAGTTCAAAGTCTGATGTTACGTACAACAAACAAAAAAAAAGTTTATATACAAGAACATAAGTTCGGCGAAGGTGTTCAATCAAAACATCGCAGCAGAAAGTTGTACTTTGTTGAAAATCAGTAATAGGTTGTTTAAATGGTTATTTACGTATCTAGAAAGTGAGGAGAGTGTTTAAGGCGCATGGCACAGCACAGCAGTTTTTGGGGTCTTTGTAGGCATTTGAAGATCACTTCAATGTAATTTCAAGCATACTTTCAAGACACCGAGCGGTTGAGCCTAACCGCATATCATTAATGTTTTTCTTATCGCTCACTCCGAATTAGAGGCCACTCTGATGGAATTAAAGGTCATTTCAAGATCATTTAAAAAAAAATAAGTCTAACAAGCGAGTCCAGACGCGTATCATATAGGTATTTGATGTGTTTGTGCAAAAAATCTGAGGTTATTTTATATACCATTTAAAGTTCAATTTAAGACCACTCAAAGGGCGAATTCAAAGTTAAGTTCTCGATTTGAACCAACTGCCCTAATATGGCAGTAAATATGGTTGTATTTTTCAATCATTTGTGTCACAGTTGGGAAGAATTCACCCTAGATCTCATCTAGCAATACTTCAACGTACACAAACATCATCAAGCCCAATTTGAATCAACAAGCGTGACTGCTGGCTCTTGTTGATGGTTTCTAGTTGTATTTCCCTTTCCATCTTTGTTTTCCTTCAGATTATACGCATATTCAGATGTGATGGGCATATCTGTTTACCACGGGGTTTTCGATACACATCCATTTGAAGCCAATAAGCAGAAACGTACGTCGCTCGGGTTACCAATCCTTCTATTCTTGTTCCTTTTGGCCCACAATAAAGTTCGTACTGTATTATGATCTATAAACAAAGTACAACATTTTTCAACACAAAATACAACGGATGATACAGAACCACTTGAATTGGGCAGTGAAAAAGTCAGATGTTTCACTATAAACTTCAAGTTTGATAGTTTGTCATATAGTCTAATCATATTAGACGAAAATACCCCTGGTTTGCGAAATAATTGTAACGTCTGGTTTTATTGCTGCAAGTTTTTCAAGGGAGATCCAAAACTGGACGCATAAAATGGGTTCACCGCTTTTTGTCGGAAAACTTTTTATTCGACAACACAGAATGAGAAAACGTGTTTTTTGGTATTCAATCGAAATTGTTTGCTGAAACGAAAAAACTCTTTATAAAAGAAGTTTAGGTATTTATGAGACCTACAAAATGAGACCACACGTAAAAAGATCCGACTAATATCAAAAAAGTTATGGCCGAAAACCGAGGCAAACTGCAGGTTTTGGCACTTGTTGCTAATGTGATGATGGTTTCTCGCAGATATTTGAAATTCTTCTAAATAACCGCAAAAAATTTGGAGTAGGTTTGTCAAGTAGTTTTTGAGAATGTTTAATTGTTTATCCCAAAACACCTGTTTTCCCGCAATCACTACTAGTTGATTGAGGAATATACAGGGTTAGTTCAAAGGGCATTTTATAGCAAAATACACTAGTTTACCCTGCCGATATGAATCGCAAGCTACTTCGGAAGATGAACGTCATTTTTATGCAAAAAAGGATGGATTACGTTTTGTTTTCTAAACAAATTCAAACATTTCGTATTGGTAAGTAATTCACAACAGAAGATGATAGACACATCCGCTTTGATTTAAAATGTGTATAGTAACATATGTTTTTCGAGTATCGTAGCGCACTTGTTCAATTACTCCCAAATATGAAATGTTTGAATTTGTTTGGAAGAAAAAGCATAACCTTTGTTTTTTTGGCATAAAGGTGACATTTATCTCTCGGAATGGTTTATGATTCATATCGGTAAGGTAAACATGCATATTTTGCTATTAAATGCTCCTTGAGCTAACCCTGTATATTGCTCAATAAACTAGTAGTGACGGTCGGAAAACATGTGTTTTGGGATAAACAATTGGAAATTCTCAAAAAACTACTTGACCAATATAATTCAATTTTGTTGTTATTCAGAAGTATGAACCCTATGAGTTTGAAGATTTTCATGTAGTTGCGTGAAATTATCGTCGCATTACCAACAAGTGCCAAAACCTGCATTTTGCCTCGTTTCTCGGCCATAACATTTTTGCTATTAGTCGGGGTCGGGGTCTCATTTTGTAGATGTCATAAATAGCTAAAAATCTGATATGAAAAGTTTTTTCGTTCCTGTCAGCAATTCCGAATCACAAAAAACACGCTTTCTCATTCTTTGTTGGCAAATAAGAAGTTTTCGCACAAAAATTGGTGTACCCATTTTATGCCCCCATGTTTTAAATACCCCCTTGAACAACTTCCACCAATAAAACCAGACTTTACAATTATTTCGGGAAAATTTGCTAATATGATGATGAAACTTGTTATTTAATTTTGAAATGGACAATGATCTTTGTTTTTACTAATTTTTGCCAGGTTTTTGCATGAATAGTACAACATCAAATTAGGGCCCAAGGAACACAAAGGGCCATAAACGCTTTTTATGTCCGGGATGCATACAACATTTCATCATCTTGAAATGATTTTATATGATCGTATCTACCAGTCTGCAAAAATTGCATTTATATTTATCAACACGGTTTCACGAAGTTTCGCTCAACTATTAGCAAATTGTTAGCCAGTTTCTATGTGAAACAGTTGACAGCAGGGGTCAAGTTGATGTAATGTATGCCAACTTTTCCAAAGCTTTTGACAAGATCAGTCGTAAGATTCTCCTGAAGAAACATTGTTATCTAGGTTTACAAAATAATTATTTCTTGCTATTAAAATCATATTTATCTAATAGACAACAATTATGTATGTGTAAATAATGTGAGATCGGAAGTATTCACTGCGGCTACCGGTGTGTCGCAGGGATCGAATTTGGGACCTCTTCTATTCTCACTTTATATCAATGATTTGTGTGATTCACTTAATTGCAATAAGCTATTGTTTGAGAATTCGACACTAGGAAGAACCGATTGCATTAGAGATTTACTTGTCTATTTTGATAATCAGTTGACATTTAATGTCCATGTAAGCCAAACAGCGCTGAGTGCTTGTCGCAGACACGGTTTTATTGTTAGGAATTGCAAGAATTTCAATGACACCTCAGCATTATCGTCTCTGTATTTCAGTCTAGTAAGATCCAAACTGGAATATGGCTCACTCATATGGAGTCCTATATGTAGCCAATACATCGTTGCTATTAAAAAGCACAAAAGTAATTTTTTAAACTCATAGCTTTTAAAATCGATGGTGTGTATCCACCAAGAGGCTGTAGTGATGGGTGCATTCATGTAGAGTTTCCTTGGCTTGCTGGGCACAGAATTTACACTGCTTTTAAATCGTTTATTCATTTTTTTAACATTTATAATAATCATTGTAAACATACATAGTCTATTTTTGTCACTGAAACGCACAGTTCCACTGGCGTATTCTGGCTTGGCTTGGCCCCCCAGAACCCCACAGCCTGATACATGTGTCCTTAGATAATACAGTGTGACTAAGTGACCCCCTCAAAGGCTAGATCTGCACTCAAGCCCCCCTCAGAACTTTTTTCTTGGATATGCCAGTGCACCGTTTTGTGATTCAGAAACAATGTTGCGGGATGTTCAGAAAATTCCCAGATATGCTATGTTTCAAAGTACAATGAAACTGAATGTGGTAATATAAAATCGACTGTAAGGGAAAAAATTATCCACATACCTCGGTGGAGTGGAAGGTGTGTAATGTACTCTTATCGTCCTGAGGTATAAATTGCGTCGACTGAAAAGTGGGATTTAACGCCCAGAAAATCTATATCTATTTTTACCATCCGAACGTAAATAATATTTATGTATGTATACAGGGTTTGTCCGGAAAGTAATAGGACTGAGTGGATATAAAAAAATTCATTGATCCAATCGTTACAATTCTTTAAAAACTTTCAAAATATTCTCCTTCTGCGTGGATGCAGCGCTGCCAGCGCGATTTCCAAGCATTCTCCGGAATAGCCTTCAGAGCCGCGATGCATGCTGCTTGGATCCCCTCTGTCGTCTCAAAATGCTTGCCTTTCATCGGCCTTTTCAGGCGAGAAAACAAAAAAAGTCCGGGGAGGACACATCTGGGCTGTAGGGTGGCTGCGGAAACGTTGGGATGCCGGCCTTGGTCAGGTAGCTGTTCACAAGAAAGGCGGTGTGAGCCGGGGCGTTGTCGTGGTGCAACTTCCAGTCGGCTGCGACGTCTTGTCGGACCCGACTGACCCTTCGTTTGAGTCTCCTGAGCACTTCCACGTAAAACTTGGCGTTGACGGGTTGTCCAGGAGGAACAAATTCATGGTGGACGATGCTTTTGATGTTAAAAAAGACAATGAGCATCGTTTTCACTTTAAATTTGCTCATTCTTTACTTTTTTGGGCGAGGAGACGCCGTCGTGTGCCACTCGGAAGATTTCCTCTTTGTCTCGGGATCATACTCAAAGATCCACGACTCGTCACCTGTGATTACGTTATTCAAAAATTGGAGGTCACTTTCACACATGTTCAAATTTTCTTGGCACACTTCCACTCGCCGCAATTTCTGGTCGTCAGTGAGCACTTTTGGGACCATCTTCGCGCACACCTTGCGCATTTTCAAATGCTGTGTCACAATGTCATGAACCACGGATTTTGGTAAATTTAACATCTGGGCGATTAAGCGAATACTTAGTCGATGGTCTGAGTTCAAAACTTTGCGCACGCGAGTCACATTATCAGTGTTTGTCGAAGTCGAAGGTCTTCCAGAACGGTCTTCGTCAGCGACCGCTTACCGGCGCTCCAAAAAGGCCTGGTGCCACCGAAACACACCACTTCTTGCTAAAGCAATACCTGGGTAAGCTTGCTTGATCATATCAAACGTCTCTGTCGCAGATTTATCGAGTTTCACACAGAATTTAATCGCGTACCTCTGCTCTAACGAACGCTG